CTCGTCTCACGCCTTTTATTCATCAGCAACTTAGGACACTATCTAAATTCTATTTCTAATCAATTTTGAACTAGTAATTTAATTATTGTAAAGTAACATTACTAATGGGTTGAAAATACATTTTGAAATCTAGAGAATCATGCAATTAAATGCTAGTCAAAATTCGCATTAATCTAATATTGATTCTTTAAAAAAATACATATTATATCACCGACACCTCAAGCACAGGTAATTTTGCATGTCACGATTGTGTGGACGTATAAGAATTCACACATTCACCCAAGGAGGATTTATCTATTAATTTTTCTATCTTGCCAAACTAACTTTTGGACAAATAAAACAAATAGTCAGTGTATTTGCGGCCAATATAAAAATAGCACTGTATTTGTTTAATACACACAAAGTGTACTATTATAATTCATTAGAAAAGATAAACTAACTCAAATTATACTATAACCATACTACTAGGTTTGTCCATTTTTATCTCGATTATGAACCTTATTTATATTATACAAAAAAAACGACAATATAATCTTCTATACAACGACGTCACACTATATTATCATCAATATAATACTTCTACACAACACTTTTGACTAATGTTGATTCTCATTCAAAATTAGAATTTGATTTAAAATAAAGTGAAACTTTTAGTATACCAACCAACACATAGGCTATCAGAGTCTTATCCTGCTGCTTGGCCCTATAAAACGACATACAGATTGAGTAGATTACACAGATGTTACTACGGCCAGAGTACATGAAATTCAAATAAGACATCAATTCCTTAACTCACATTTGGCTGATTGATGAGAGTATCTCCGACTCAATGAAATACGGATTTGGACCAATTGTTTTGCATCATCCCGGAGCAAGGTCCATTTAGCGTCGTCCGTGGGAGAATTAGATCAAGGTGATGTCCTCAGGTGTATTGTAATATTTTTACTCAGCCAAGAGAATATTAGCCATTAAGCTTAAGATCAATAATTTTGTTTATATTGAGAACTGTTTCAGAATAACCTTCGTCTTCACCATAAATACATGAAGTGTCTAAAACAGAGGTTGAACCAAACAGAAACAAAGCCCCAAAATCAAAAGACACAAAGGTTGATCCCAAATCAAACGCCAAAATGAACGAATCATAACAAATCTCCACAAGGCTGAAGTATCCCACCTCTGAAACATGAAAATGAGGACAAAATCGAAGTGCCTAAAGACTCTGAGCAACTGAACGTCGGCTAAGAAAAAATTTGTCAAGCCACGGGCCGGAGCATGAGATTAGTTTTAGAGATGAAGGTTGCACGTGTAGTGCACAAGTGCAGAATCCAACAACCCGATTTTTTTCTGGTGGTTGATTGACAAGCGACAATTTTTAGGGGTCAGAGATATGATCATATTCCATTTTCTGTCTGGCTGTGGGGTGAAGAAGGCAACTCTCGGCAGGTTTCCTCGATCCGTGTCGGATGTTCGCAGGAGTTCTCAGGGTGGAGAGGAAAGGATGAGTGCGACAAAGTGGCCGAACACGGCTCTGTCGCTGCTCCGTCTTTGCTCTGGTTTCCCCTTCCTAGCCCTAGTTGACGGCAATGGCCTCATTCCGGCTCTCTGACCGCCGGCAATTTGGAGTGGTTGGGGGGCGGCAGTAGCCTGTCTTCGAGGGCTGGGTGGGAAGGTCGAGTTCGAGCTTTGGCTGGGTGCCTCTCTCTTTCGGGCTGACAGATAGTCACGGTTGCGGGATCTCAGTTTTGGCCGAAGGCTAGTCTATTGTTCCTTGGCTTTACTGGGGTTTTGGGTCGTGTTGAGCCCTTGTACATCCGTGGTTAGGTGGTGGTTCGGGCAGGTTTGTCACTTCGGGCAGAGTCGGAACGGCAGAGCTCTGAAGTCGTTTGCCCCCTTCCTTCCCTTTCTCGGCTCTGAGTTTGTGGGAGGCCGTCTGTTCCCGGAGTTAGCTAGTGTGTTAGGCAATTGCGGGTCGGGTGCGGATTGGCTAGTGGTGTTAGCCGGTTGGGGGGAGACTGCGATTTCTTGCGGTTGGTGTGCGGGTTGATTTTGGTGGTCTGTTCGGAGGCTTGGGTATTCGTCTTGCTAGGCCTTCTGCAGTGGCGGGCGTGGTACTAGGGCTTCAGAGCTCTCCTCGGAATTAGCTTCGTCTAATGTCTTTTCGGATGTGTTCGCTAAGGGAGGATTTGCTTATGTTTAGATTATAGTTTCGTTTATGTTTGTTGTTTGTTAGCTTTTGTTTGTGTTGTCTGTGTTTTAGGTCTAGGCCGTTGGCCTCGGTGGCCCGAGTGTGACTTTATTATCCTGTTGGGATCGGACACTCGAGCATTAGCCTGTTGGGTCGTTTCTGTTTGTTTTTATTCTCCCCTTGGGAGCTTTCAGTGTCGTCGTGTTTTTAGTGGTTCTAGAGTATTTTCCTGTTGGGGACGGTTCTAGGTGGGCTTTAGGCCTGTCCTCCCAGTTTATTCAGTTGTTAGCTGCTTGTATTCAACCGTTGGCTGTTTGTATTCAGCTCGTAGCTGTACTTTTGCATTTTTGTGCGTTCGTTATATAATATTTGTATCGTTCTGAACAAAAAAAAATCTTATCAATCAATTTTATATTATCTTTAAGTCACATCAACTTTAGTCTACATTTTTATTTCTTATTTATTTATAATTTTCAATTGTCAACTAACTTTTTTCAATTTTTCATTTCACTCTTTTTTTTTTCCAATCGATAGATCATCTCATTCAAACAACGAAAAAACTTATACAATGTCCAGACAAGATAACCAAACAAAATACAATATTCAAAGCCAGAAATGGGAGAACCACCTTCAGGTGGCCTAGAGAATCAAGCAAATACAAATAAAAATAAAGGGATAAGGCAGTTAGAACTCAACTGAGGCCCTTACCCCTCAAATACCAAAGCTAAAGACTAAGACTATCAGAAAAGGAAAAAACCAAAACAGATCTAGGGAATGCCTAAGAATATAAGAACAGATAACCATCCTTCGAGAAGTACTGTGGCCTGCTCCATTTGCCTCCAAGTAAGCTCTCCAATCCAGAACAACTGCCTTAACTATAGAGGGTGCAGGCCTTTTGATTCCTTCAAAAACCCATAGATTCCTGCATTTCCATAACCACCAGAGTATGTATCTTGAAAGTTGTAGCCTTGCCTCTGATGTGTCATCTTTGTTCAGTTTGCACACTTGCCACCACCAGGATTTGAAATTTCCAGATTTTTGAGGGCCCTCCCAGTGAACTGGGGCTAGCTTTCATACTTGTTGTGCTTGAATGCATTGAAAAAATATATGCTCTATTGACTCTTCAGCCTCCCCACATATAGGACAAATGACATCTATCTCCATTCCTCTGATTTTTAAGTTCAAATTAACAGGTAAGGCACTAGACAAACATTTCCATATAAAATGTTTTACCTTACCCATTACTTTGAGCTTCCATGTTATGGTTCTAGCTTTGATTTCATGCAATCTATCACAACTTCCTTCTGGCTGATCCATCTTCAAGGCTTTTTCTGCAATGAGATGAGCATAAATAGATTTAACAGAAAATATACCTTTATTATTAAGCCTCCAGATCCATCTGTCATTTCTGCAATCATTTCACTCTTGACAGTTAAAAAAGAAAAAAGAAAATGTCGTATGTTCAATTCAATCACCTTTCAATTAGGGATGGCAATCAGCAGGTCGGGCCGGGTACCTGCAGACCCAGACCTGGCCCACGTTTTTGCCCAGTGGACGCGACCTGCCCCGCAACCTGCGACGGGTCCAATAGATCGAGCCTGTGACCTGACCCGTTTCGGGGCGGGCCGTCCCTCAACCTACGCCTCGTGTCTGACCTGCCCCGACCCGGTAGACACCTACATAATTTTTTATCCCTTTTATTTATCTCAATCATCACTTTAAACATTACACATTTCACAAATAATAATAATAATAATAATAATAATAATAATAATAATAATAGTAATAATAATAATAATAATAGTAATAATAAAATAAAATAAAATTTACAAGCATAAATAGCACTCAAGAACAATGTTAAAATTCGTACAACAATCCAACAAATAACATAATAAGTTTTACGATTCAAAAATCAAAATACAAAGATTCAAACATTATATATTATATATAATTTATATAGAAATGAGAATATACAAAATGAGAAAAGTCAAAACTTAATTTATAATTTCACTTATATATTATATGTAATTTATATAAAAATAAATAAATAAGATCGTGGCAACGGGTCGGGCCGAGAAAAAAGACCCCGACCTGACCCACTTAGTTAACTGGTCAAGCCAGGCCCAACCTGTCTTAGAAATGGGGCAGATTTGAGCTGCCCCAAATGTTTCGGGCCGGGCCAATTCGGGCCGAGTCTATGTCCTTTTGCCATCCCTCCCTTCAATTTTTCCTCTACCAAGGTACAACTACAAGCTTGGGCAGTTGGGCTCCATTGGCAGCAAAGGAAAAGCTACCGAAACAGTCAACCAGGCCGCCTTAAATGAATTCCAACTCACACCTCAATAATAATCAATACTACTATTAAACTCTCTCTTTCTCTCTTTCTCACAGGACACGCACGCACGCACGCGCCCCCTTTCTCTCCCACGCACTCCAACACGCAGGCGAGTCCCCGGCTCTCCTCACCGTCACAGCCTCTCACAGCCAAGAAAACAACTGTCCACGTTCACTCCACCACTCACCCACCACCAATAAACCTTACCACAAATCTTCCTCCTCCTCCGCCACCTGCACCGCCGTAACAGTCACCGTGAAACTACATCCAAGCAACCATAAAGACAAAAACCAGATAATAATACCAACCCCACCATCACACGCGCACACCCAATTTCCTCCATTTTCCAGCTCCCTCTCTCTCCCAAAATACAACATATTTTTCGTTGTCTTCACTCTCACTCGCGTGCTCTGAGAAAAATGGTGATCCTCTCACTAAATCAAGTCAGCTGAGGTTTTCAGAGGCTTTCCATCACTCCCAATGTCGAGAGAGGAAGCAGCTTCGAAGAAGTTCCGCGCCCTGGCGGAGAGCGCGGAGCGGAAATTCGCGCGCGTGCGCGACGCGCCTCTGCATCCGTACGGAGGGAGCGGGCCACAGTGCGCGCATTTCTTTCACAAGGTTTTCAAGGCCTACATGCGGCTATGGAAGTATCAGCAGGAAAATAGGGCCAAGCTGATGGAATCGGGCCTTCAACGATGGGAAATTGGGGAGATCGCTTCACGGATCGGTCAGCTCTATTACAACCAGTATTTGAGGACTAGCGAAGTCAGGTTTCTTCTAGAGGCCTTCATATTTTACGAGGCAATTTTTCGAAGGAAGTATTTTGATGGCTCGGCCAAGGATCGAGGGGTTAGGTTTAAGGAATTGAGGTTTTACGCCAGGTTTTTGACGGTGTCGTTGGTCCTTTACCGCATGGAGATGGTGAAGTTGATCGCCGAAAGGTTTAAGGAGGTGGTGGATGACAGTAAAGTTAGTTTTCGGGTAATAAATTTTTATTCTTTCCTTTTCAATCTCAGCAAATTTGTTGTTTAATGTGCAATATGTTGGTCATTTTTGCTTTCATGTGGCACCGCGGATTGCTAATCTTTTTATTGTGTGATTGTCTTGACTGAAGAAGAGCTTGACGGGATTTTGTTTCTTGTGCTGAAGTATTTGATCTTTATTTCACTCATCGCTCACCCTAAATAGAAGTAATGGTTCTAAATATTAATGTGATTTCTGCCATTTGATTTGATTTTATTTGATTATGATGACAAGCTATTATTAGGATCTTAATCATGATGCCCTTTTATTTATGTAGTTTGAAAAAGCATGAGAGTCAGTTAATCGTTTGGTAGTTAGTCAAAGTTGGAGAGCCTAGAGGATGCCTTGGTGGGAAAGATTAACCAAATCCAATGACGACATGATATAGATTGCGTTTCCTCACTGGGTTTATCGCGATTTTTGCTGAAATTAATGAATTGTTTTCACTGAGTATGAATTGTTTGAGACATTAATGATGGTATCAACATCTGATGCACTTCTCCTGCTAGCTAGTGTCCAAAGGCAAACTATAGATTTTGAGTCCAACGGTATTAGTAGTTCAAGTTGGCTTTGGCTTGATAAAGTACAATGAATATATGGAGTCCAATAATAGTTGTGATGCCTTCTATCTATATTATAAACAAGATGTTGTGGCGCTGAAAATATATTTTGTTACTTGTTAACACCATTGTGCTTGCTTGTTTTGAAGACCTAAGTTTGACTCATTATCTAGTATTTAAATGGTCTTGAAAATTTGAAGAAAGTTTAAAGGACACTGTCTGAAGCTGTTGTGTAATTATTTTACCCTTTGAAATTTTTCATTCATCTGCAACAGTTTAATAATTGACTTGTTTCTGTTTGTGTCTTTTACATACAATTTTGAAAATTTAAATTCACATTTGAGGCAAGTTTTGTTGACTGGCAGTGGTGTTACATTAATAGAGTGTTCAAATGTCGGCAAATACTACTGCTACTTCTACCGGTTGGCATAAATAGTGGGATGATCGGCTAATCTTTGAACAGATATTTTGATTAGACAACGTAAATGAAATTAAGAGAAAAGGAGGCCTCAACCCATCCCACCAAAGATCTAGGGACAGTGTTGAAGTGATCACAATTCTTTATTATGTGCTGAAAGTCATGTAGGTTTGTCGTTATGGTAAACGCTGAACTCTATCAAGGAACATCTAATTGTGGTTCACACTGGACTATTGGAGTGTATTACTTAATTAGAAGATTTGAGTTCCATCTTAGAATTTGACAGATAATAGTTACTTTGGTGTAACGTTTCACAGGATTTGGTCATTATATTTTTTTTGTTGTGACACATCCGCTTGTTGGCTTGACATGGACAACACAGCAAGTAGTCTAATTATTATCTCATGCTAGAACGAGCTCTGAACTGTAGTAGGTGTACTTCAATTATTTTACATTATATTGAGGAGAAAGTCTCTTTTATTGCGTTCTTGAATATTACATTTAGGTTATGTTTCTGTTCATCTTCATGCTTTCCAGTAAATTGTGTTGAGATGAATTAAACTATATACAAATTTGTCTTGCACACTATATATTTGTGCCTGTTTCTTTTATAGTTGAGTTGTGACGCTTGAAAGGAAAAAATAAAATAAAATAAAAAAATAAAGAGCAAACTTATTAGTTAGGAGGTAATAACCACAAGACTTGTACTATGTTTCGCTGGCCTTACGTGAATTGCAAGGCAAACAGCTGTAGATGAGCACATATATTATTAAGTATGTACATCTTAGGTGATTCTAATTCAACGAGAGGTAATTTGGCTGTACCCGATGTTACAATTTTATCATTTCTGGCATACTGAACCAACTTGCCCATGTATATGTATCTAAGGATTTCCCTCATATGATCAGATATATGGAGCTGATTTTTCTTCTTAAGACATTCTATATCTTTGTTTTATCTTAGTTCCTGTAATTAGACTTGTCACTCTGAACTTTAATGAACTTCATAGCTAAAACTGTATAACCAACGATATAGATTTCTTTCTGCTCTAGGAAACCAACTTTAAAGAGTGGAAGCTGGTAGTGCAAGAAATTGTGCGGTTCATGCAAGCTGATTCAGCTGTCTCGCATGCTAGACCTTTGCGTTATACTGCCGTTTTTGATTCTTATCCAACCTCACTCCCTTCTGTGGCACGATTTCATGCTAAGAGGCTTCTGAAGTTTAGAGATGCCCTGCTGACTAGCTATCACAGACATGAGGTTATCTATATTCGTATTTTAAAGAGTTTGGGTGTTAATATATCCTGTTGAAAGTAAAAAATCACTTTCAGGAATGCTCTATATGATATTTCAGGTGAAATTTGCGGAACTCACGTTAGACACTTTTAGGATGCTGCAATGTTTGGAATGGGAACCTTGTGGATCTTTCTACCAGAAACTTTCTGTCGAGTCGAGAGAGAACGGCATACTGGCTGATCATTCAGCTACTTCTGGATTGATAGACATGAATCTGATTGCAGATATGTTAGACACAAATTTACCTCCAAATCCTAAAAAAGCTATTCTCTATCGTCCATCCGTGACACATTTGTTAGCGGTGAGTGCCAGAACTTTACATGGTTGTTTACATGTTTTCATGAATGAATCTGGGCCTGATGACTTGGTATGAAGTTTGAAGGCATGTTACAACTTTCAGAAAATAGACGATTTTCTTACGTGAGACACATTTTACCTGAGGTTCTAACAAACTGTGTTTTCCTTTGTTATGCTTTTACCACTGACAGGTGATGGCAACAATTTGCGAGGAGCTACCTCCAGATAGTGTTATGCTAATATACTTGTCTACTTCAGGTTTGCCTTTCATTTGAACTTTTGTTCCATCTGAGATTTGGGTGTTAGCATGCCAACTGACATCATGTTGTGGATGCAGGAATTTCTGGTCATTGTACTACTTCACAAGCTGAGAACTCTGGAATGTCGAGAAAATGCGCTTTGACCAGTGCCCCCGTTAATAATCATCATGAACTGAGGAATGGTTTTTCTGAAGATCATATTAATAATGAGTGCTCAAATCAATATTTTGAGAATTATTTGTCATTAGGCCCATGCAGAAGTGGAGGTAGGATTGTAATAATGTATTCACTGTATTTTCATTGTGCTATAAGATGTCTTGTTACAATGTAGTTTTGGTTTTGCTCTAATATTAGCTAACATTGCAATTCTTCTGTTGCAGGTTCAAATATCCTCTTCCCCGGTGATATAATACCTTTCACCAGAAAGCCTCTCTTTTTGATAATTGATAGTGATAACAGCCATGCATTCAAGGCAGGTTTATATAAACTTTTGTAGTGTAACTAATCTGTGCACATATGCTTCACCAGCCAACTGTATCCTTCAGCTGCTAATAACTACCAATCCGTATCAGTTAAACTATAATGCTATATGAGGGATTATGGAAAATTAGCTTACAGGATAGTGCAAGATATTGACATTTATTTGTTGGTTAGTTGCCAATCATTTCAGTCTTGATTACACTAAATCTCTTTAGATGAGGTTCGGATCAATTTACTCTGGTTATATCTGTTAATTTTCTCTTTTCAGCGAGGGAGTCGATGTAAGCTTCTCTTTGATTTTGTGGTCAAAGTTGCATAGTTCTGCCGTTCTCCTTGAAACCAAATTCACAGTTTTCCTTGCAAGATAAAGAGACGGAAGAAGTGATGTGTTTTTCTTAGTAATTAAATGGCCATCCTGATTTGAGATTTTTATTGGATATTCTATCATTTGCTGTTTGACCTATACCTAAGAACCGATGTCTTTTATATCATTAAATGCCCTTAGTTATTACTTGATGTGATATGTGCCTTTAGAGTGATATATAACTATGTGCATTTTTCCTACAAGAGAATATTTCCTGTTGTGCTGATATTCTGATTACTCTTCAGGTTCTACACGGAGCAGAAAGGGGTGAACCCGTAGCTTTATTCCTTTCTCCTTTGAGGCCTTCATTCAAGGATCCAGTTGGTGTTGACATGGCTCATGGAAGTCAGTTCACTTTCTTCCTGACTGCTCCATTACAGGCTTTCTGCCAATTAGTTGATCACAGCTTAATTAATGATGACATGGTTGGTTAAGTTTTCACTAATTGAATTCTGCAGAAACTAGCTTCTCTGGTGTGTATCTAATAGCTTCTGTTAATTTGATTTATTTCAGGACATGTACAACACAACAGAAAGCATACTTTCCAGTGCCTTCTCTAAATGGGAGGAGATTCTCTGTACGTCAACTGACTTGGATATAGTTTGGGCTCAACTTCTTTCAGATCCATTTTTACGCCGGCTACTTCTTAGGTATGAGTTCGTGTCCTAATCATTTTCATGATCGACTGTTGGAATTGTGGAAGGCCAATATTTCAAAGCATATTCTAAGTAAATGTTATGAGGTCTTGTTTCCTGAAAATCTCCAGTTTCTTCCTTTCTCTTTAATCAATGAATCCAAATAATGATTTTGAGCCTTTTTGTGGCCCAGCTTAATTGCCTCGTCAACTTTTAAGTTTAAACATCACATTGCGTATAACTGGATTCAGAATATAATGACCTAGGTCTCCTTGAAAATTGTGTAACTTCATGCTGTATTGTTCTCTGTCTAAATTGAACACTTGCTATAATTTGCAAATGCTTATGCGATCATGAACCACAGCAATATTATGGTGGATATTCAATTGATCTATTTGTTGATGTCTCCAGATTTATTTTTTGCCGTGCTGTTCTCTCTTTGTTCTGCTTACGACAAAAAGATGACCAGCACTTGCCTGTATGCATACCCAATCTTCCCAAATCAGTAGCTGCAGACTCCAAGGCTGTGCAACCTGCTATAAACCGTCTTGCAAGTCAACTCAAGGTTGCTGATTGTTTTAGTTTTTCATAAGCGCTTCATAAAAAAAGGGACGCGAAGATTGTATGCTGAAGTCTGGAAGGATAGTCTGTAAATGCTCCAAGGTACCTCATATCATTATTCGGGAGGGACTTAAAAAGAAGATTTGGCCAAGTGGTAGGTGTAATAGGAAGAAAACATACATGCGTGCATATATAGTTATTTTTTTGGAGTTATTTTTTTCGAGACCATGATGCCTCCTCAATGCTCCTAAATCAAGATTTTATTTTGGTCCCATGCCGGTCGTTTTCATGCACTGTATAATTGTTGTTGGGGGTTAGTGTGTTGAATTAGCATATTGCGGTTGTAGTTTGTTGCCTTAATTATAAATATTTTAGATGTTATTTGTTCATACCTTTTGTAAATTATAATTCAATTAAGTAGAGGTTGAGATTTTTATATTTGTCATCTTATCCATTTGATTTTCTTGCATTAACCTGTTCTGTTAAAGATCTGTTTTCTTGTGACCTTGGGACCTCATAAGCTGTTAAAACTGATAATCATCAAACTAATGCGCCATTTTATGTCAAAATTTCATGTACATGTAGCATTCTTCTTTAGTTTTGTTGGTTTTGTAGGACATTATTTTTCATTCTTCGTTAATACTATGATGTGTTTCACCGTATAAAATCGCCCAGAAAAGGTTCTTCGAGTTTGAAAGTGTAAATATTTAAGGCGTTGAAGTCTACCTTTAGGATGTTTATTGTTTTCTCATTATATAGACGTGTTTTTGCTCGTGTTGCAAAGTGTATCATAAATGAGCGTAGTTGTGTTGATATGAAAATCAATGTAAATTAAGTATAATTTTCAATTTTGATATTGAAAATTCGATAATTAGTATGTTTGGAAATTTGAAAGTTATGTACCTGAAATTGCAAATTTGGTACCCCTTAATTTGGACTGTCACAATTTCAGTTTTGAGGGGCGCAATTTTAATATCTACTTTATTTTTGTCTTGAAATTGGTCCTATAATTTAAACTGGCCGTGAAGTCAACGTTAACAGCTAAAAATGGTAGTGACCCCTCAGGACTAAAATTTTGACCGCGAGATCAAATTTGCAATTTCTTCATATTTATAACTTTGAATATATTTAATATATATATAAATTCAAATATATATTTTTTTTGGTAAAATAAATTCAAATATATTTGAATTATGTTTTCTATATTTAAAATATTTTTAATTAAATAATAAATATATTTACAAAATAATTATTTAAAAGTTTGAATTTGAAATGTTATTATACAATAGACTGGTTCAATTTTTTTCAAAAGTTTGACTTGATTATTTTGGTTTCACATTTCGATTATTGATTGATATTATTTAATTATATTAATATTATTAAGATTGGGATGTTGAGTTAGATATTAATTTAATCGAAGTGGTAAAAAGTGGATTTTTTTATTTAAACTAAGATAAAAAAAAAATGAGAGGACAAAAAAAAGGATGGACAAAATAAAAAGGCCGTATTATGAGAATACGTTTTTCAATTTAAAACGTATTTTCGTAATACGTTTTAAAGGTTAAACGTATTCTCGTAATACGTTTTATGCTGAATAAAATTAATAATGTCATTAAGTTAATTAAAATTTACATAAACCGTGATTAATTTAATTTAATAAACATAAAACGTATTAAAGAAATACGTTTTAAACATAAAACGTATTTTTAAAATACGGTAATATAATAAAATTAATTTATTATATTATTATTGCTAAAAAATAATAAAAAAATCTTAAAAACGTATTTGCAAAATACGTTTTATATAAAACGTATTTTGAACGTGCGTTTTTTATGCGCCAATTTTGCCCTAATTTTATGTTTGCCCTAAACCGTATTCTCAGAATACGTTTAAAAAAAAAAACATATTCTGAAAATACGTTTTACTGTGCAGAAACAACAACTGTACAGGAAAAATAAAAAAAAACAACACACCTGTTTATCGAAATCGATTCCACAACCAAATATTCAACAACCAAAATTCAACCACAATAATTTATTCAAAATACAAATATGGCCAAATTTCATTACCCAAAATTCAAGAAAAAAACCATAAATGTCCATAAATTTCACCTAATAGTTGCTAGGAGTGTATTGATTCGGAGGATTGCGCTGTCGGTAGCCCATCCGACGCTGTGGTGGTCGTGAAGAAGACGAGGCTGTGGGCGTGGCAGCTTCTTCTTCTTCATCTGAATAATTCATTTTTTTAAAAAATCAAAAATTCCACTTGACAAAAAATAAATAAATAAATAATTAAAAAATCATATTGAAATTAAGTAAAAAATTCTGACCTTCTTCTTCTTCTTCTTCCTCAGGCCTGTTGTTGCAGCGGGTTCGCGGGAGGGTCCGCGGGCACGACATCTTCTACCTCCACCAATATTGGCAGCGGGTTGATGCCTCGCCCGGTGCGACTGCATCGTTTGGGGTCGGGCGTAGCTCTCCTGAGATAGAACTTGACTCGACGACTTCCCTTGCATGACCCCTTGGCCTCTGACAATCAGTCCACTGTAGAGCATGTTTTGGAACTAGAGGATTGTGACCCGCGCCTCTGGAGTGAGCCGATCAAATTCAAGACTCAAAAACAAGTTAAAAACACCCTCCATGGCTTGAGCCTAAAAATTAAATTCAAAATAATTAATATTAAACACACAAAAAATCATAATAATAATAATAAAAAAATCACAAATTATGAACACTTACACTGCACATCCTCTACTCGGAAAGTGGCTGATAGCCTCCGTCTTCTTGGACCATCGGGTAGTTTCCAGGGTTACTGATTAGTCTCACAGTCCTCTCGTGAAACCAATCAAGGTAACCCGGCTTAGGCTCAAGGAATAACTCCACATGGTAACATGGAAGGACATTTTGGTCTCTTTGTTCGACCCAAACATTTCCAAACGGTCCATGAAAGTCGACCCAATCATAGAATGCTCTCACAGTCATCTCCTGGCCTCGGTGGTGTGTCTCTTATTCAGCCAACCACTAATGATCAGAGGGTCGGGGATGGACTGCCGACACCCGAACTGACGGAGGACCCTATCAGGCAGGTGGGGTTCACGATTGTTCCAACAGAAGATCCACCCCTATACATCTAGAGGCGTGAACCTTCTGTACACTGGGCCGGGAGAGTACACTCGTCTAGGTGGCGTATAGGGCACCCAATCGAACTGTAAAATACAAAAAAAAATAATAATAATTAGGAATTAAGTTATAAAAAAATTAAAAACAAATAACAAATATAAATAATAATCAATATGACTTAATAGTAATCTTACATCCTTCTCACTCGGTCCTGTCAAGTGATCTCGGACAGCGGCTGTTCCCTTGCCTACGTGTCTCGTGTCATTCCGTCCCACCCACCTTAAAAATCACATAAAAAATAAACTTTTTGTAATCACAAAATTTGATAACTAAAATATTCGAAGTATCAAATATAAATAAATGTGATTACTTTCCTCCTAAAGGACAACCATGGACTCTCTCAAAGTTCGTATCCCTCATTCTTGGGCGAATACGAGGGATACGTCCCCATGCCCAAACCTACACATACCTGAATCAATTGGACACAGTTCTTGATCCAATTTTCCCCGGCATTGGCGCTCGTGCAGAGCGCTCTATACCACTCCGGCCAGGAAAGTCGAACCCTAGATGTACCCCTTGATATCGTCGATCTCATGCAAATGCTGCAACCAGTACAGGTTCACGCCATTGGCCCTCTGGTCGGAGAAGAAGAAGGAACCGATGCACCAGAGTATAAGGGCCCTCGCCCTCTGTTCGTGGTCCCAGAGATGCTCTTCACCGTTTAGCTCTCTGTTGAACTCTTCTTCTAACCCGGAGGTCTTAAAAAACTGGCCTGTAATGCCCCAAGTCTTGGGGTCGCTGTCAGCCTGAGAGTTGTTAAAATATATTAAAAATTAATGAATTGAGTAAATATAAACAAAATAATAATAAAAAAAATTGTAGGAAAAAATTTACCTCCAATTTGGGCTCGAACCCTAGCAAATCTACACACATATCTCGCCATTCTTGGGGTGTGTGATCATGAGTCACTCCCCAACAAGGCGTTCCATCGATCGGGAGACCAAATAGGACTTGTACGTCCTGCTGCGTGATCGCCGCCTCTCCGAAGTCAAAGTGGAAGGTGTGCGTCTCCGGTCGCTACCTTTCCACCAGACATGTAATGAGGTTATTGTCCGTCATTACTCTGCCCATTCTAAACAGTGTCACACGACTCGTGTGAGTCCACATGACCCGTGTCGCTATCCACACGAGTCGTGTGAAAAAATCGTAGCTACAACAAGAATTTTCCCAATCCACACGACTCGTGTCACTATCCACACGAGTCGTGTGGCCTCGACTGCACCTGTTTTTGCCGTTATTCGTCTCGATTCCATTTTTAAAACAACCAACTAAACCAAAATTACACCAACAAATCAAATCAATCTTATACCCTAAATACCATCCAAATAAATCATCCAAGTAAATTCAAATAAAATAAACCATCCAAACAAAACAAAATGAACAATCCAAACAACTATAAATCTAAATAAACACTAAAAAATCTAATCTCCCCACACATCACGCAGTCTAGTTCTATCGGTGGGAGGATGTTAGGACGGATACACATCCACAACATGATCAGGATCACCACATCTTGAACACTGCCACCTATCATTTCTGCAGCGCGACCGTCGATCCATTTGCATGCGGTAGCGTCTCGTTTACTTGCGACCTGGTCCAGGCTTCAAGATGATCCTCTCCCAAAGTGGTATCAAATTAATCCCACCGGCGCCCAGGTATCCGGATTACCAATTGGAGCAAAATTCTATTTACTAAATTGAGCTACCAAGGTCTCCGTCCAAAAGCACGCATGGTACAACGACTTCGGATCACCCACAATGAAACGACATACAACTATTGCATTAGAGCACGGTTTTCTGTGTGTCTGCCACTTCCGACAAGTACAACGTTGGTGGGGATAATTAACCATAGT